ACACACACACACACACACACACACACACACACACACACAAAATGTTAGTTTTTAAAATGCCCTGAAGTAAAATTTTCTTTCTTGTGTCATCAGCCAAAACCCATGTTCTGTCTTACACAGTCAATGTGTTGTAAGTTTCTCTACAAAGGAAAGCTACTTTAAAGCTCACACATTTGCCCTTTACCTAGTTAAGTACCTTCTCTTCTTTTCCTGTCTTCCTAAAAGTTTCGTTATTTCAAGCATAATCAAATATTTTAACCAAGTTCATTTGAGATCAGCAGTAAACTTTTCCTTCTGTTTTCCATGATGGTAAAGAATTGGGTTAAGTCTCTTGCCGTTAAAATGAACTGATACCAGAGTTCACAAGATTTTTGTGTATAGTACCAATATATAAGAATCAGTAATATTTCTTTTCACTAGAAGGAAGTAACATAACAATATAGTTTAAAACACAATTGGCTTTCTGAATCCATGAGTTAGCTGTACAACTGCAGATTCAACCAACTATGGCTTGAAAATATTTAGCAGTGAAAAACTGTATCTTTCCTAAGCCTATACAGACTCTTTCAGTTATTTCCCAAACAGTGTAGTGTAATGACTATTTACATAATGCTCACATTGCATTAAGTATGACAAATAGTTTAGAGATGGCCTAAAAGATACAAGAGGATATGGCTTATACTCAAGTATAAGTTTATACTGCTTTGTATGAGGAACGTAATCACCTATAGATTTTAGTATTCCCAGGGGTATTGGAACACCACTACAGATGCTGAGAGACAATTGCAGATCATCCACAATGACTATAAGGAGTAATAAATAGTAAAAACACACAATACATTAATGAAGGAAAAAGTAAATGTTAATCAAAGATGGGACTAGACGGAGAGACATCTTTTCTTCAATGGAACAATTGGGTATGGGGTTGTGGGGTATTGTTTTTAGGAACATCTGTCGTGTGTGTGTGTGTGTGTGTGTGTGTGTGTGTGTGTGTGTGTGTACGTGACAGGGTCTCTCATTGGGATCTGGGGTTCACAAACAAGACTTGACTGGCTGATTGGTGAGCCCCGTGCCACCTCCTGTGTCTGCTCCCCCAATGCTGATTTCAAACATGGTGGCTTTTTATGTGAGGGTTGGGGATCCAGCTCACACCCTCAGCCCTTGTGTGGCAACCGATTTGCCCGCAGGACTCAGAAGAATTCATTTGATATGATAAAAGTGCCAAATCTTCCTCAAATTAGTCAAGGCAAAGCCCATGACATCAGCATGACTTTACTTAGAATAATTTCACTTACTTTTTAATAAAGGAACATATGAGTTTAACCTAACACTGTCATGAAAAGCTAAATCTCTAAATTTATTAAGATGTTCTCCAAATCCAGAGGATATCTTAAATACACGGAGCTTAAAGGGGAGAACTATCTGTTCCTACTTACAAAGACTACCATAAAACTGTAGTAGTTTATAGTTTGAAAATTCAGATAATGACACAAAAATAAAGGCATGAAGGGATGGATAAAACTTAGAGTTTGAAGAGTCCTACCTTTGACAGTCACCAGCCCAGGTAGCCTCTTATTGAAACCCTCTGTCCAGGCTCTTCTTGCTCTACCTGCCCTGCAGGTGTTGGCATCCCAGAATCACCACCACCACCGCCATCACCACCACCACCACCACCATGGAGAGTAAAACCCAAATGTTGGAGGAAGGGAAGTGGTGGGAAATTAATCCCTCAGCATGGCTGATAGCAACCTATTCTACACTGTCTCTCAGCATCCTCAGACAGATGAAGCCCCAGCCAGTCATGGTGACATTTCCTTACAAGATTTCTTCTCATCCTGGTTTCCCTCCTCCACGCCTTTGCTGATGTTTCGAGGTTCACACCTAAAACAAACACTCTTGCACTGCAGTCTCTTTGGTTTTCCTTTCTTCCTTTTCCATTTGCTTATTTATTTATTGCATCCCTGAGGATTGAACCCCACCAGCATTAGGCATGTTAGACACATGCTCTACTCCTGAGTTACAGCCCCAGCTACGTCATTATCTAAAAGTCTGTTTCTGGGGGCAGCCAGACCAGAGGCAGAATGGACACACACATAAACAACACAGTGAGGCAAAGAAGGAAAAGAACAGGCTGAAACCGACTCACTGAATTGAGAAACATGAAACCCACACTGGTACACAAATACAATATAAGGGGAATTAAAGACCCAAATATAAAAGGTATATCATAGAGGAGTAGGAGAGGTGTCCCTTAGCGAGTGAGGATCAGGAAAAAACAGCTCGAACAGAACTTCAAATGCCCCAGCATCCTCTCTCCTGGGAAGGGAGCCCCAGAGAGTTTTTCACAGGCAGAGAGCTGAACACTGTGTGAGGAGACCGGCTGTGGCCCTCTTTGTAGTAGAAAGGATCAAATGGGATCCAGGTGTCTGTCCATCTCTGGGAATACCATAGACATGCTAGAAGGCTGTGCAGCTTCTAGGATGGGTAGAAGCTACATGTTAGATACACACTTAGCACCATGGATAGATCTCTAAGTAGCATAATAAGTGAAAAATGAAGAAGCCTTACGGAACTCCCAAGCATGTAGACAAAACAGATTTTACAAGAACACACACAAATGAAAGGTGCACATCAAATATTTTAGAAGAGTTGTCTATGAGGGAATGGCGTGAGAATATTAAGTGGAAATAATACAAACAAGGCTAAAGGTTATGGTGTGCTTCAAGCTGAGAATAGTCTTTGTGTCTAGGCTACCCCCAACAAAGTATATAAGGGGGAAGAAAAACCAAATAGATAGTAAGTACCAGATACCAAACATTCTCTAACAGTGCAGACATTCATGAAGTCTATTAGAAGGGTCTCTGCTTTAGTAGATCATCAAAGAAAATGGGAAAAAATACGCAAGGTGAATAATTGGGGTAACTCATACTAATGTACAATATAGAAATTATTTTTGCTTGATCTCTTTCTGTGAAAAATATTTTAGATCATAATGCTAGGAAAGAGTTTTGAAAACACTGTCCTTCTTTTATAAGAAACAGTATTTAAAGAAATTAACCTGCCGACCAAGTATGGTAGCATACATTATAGTACTGGTATTCAGAAGGCAATTTCAAAGCTAGCCTGGGCTATGTAGTACAGCTCTGTATTGCTCCTCACAAACAAAACAAAACTCTAACAACAACAAGTGAACAGTAGGCAGCCTGCTAAGAACTCAAAAGACAGCGTTTCTTTTTTCCTGCTGGAGGTTTTTACATTAGAGAGTGGTCCAGACACTGAGAGCATCTGCTTTCCCATCCATGTGCAGAGACCTGTTCATTTCAAACAGATTCACCAACGGACCATGCAGAGGTCTCAAAGGCCATTAGTGGCCCTAGAAACCATTGGAGCTATCAGCCGAGGAAAGCTGGCAAATGTTTACAGAAACCAGTCAGGGAGTGAATGGGGATGCTGTCCCCTTTCCAATGAATGAGAACAAAGACCAGAAGCTTTAATTGGGTTAGTGAACTTTCTGATGTTTTTATTGAAGAAGCTTAAGGCATTGATCAGTTAACAGAGCTCCCGTTCTTAGACACAGACCGCCTCACGTATGTGGGCAGCTTGGTATGTAGGAAGGGGAGTTACTATGAAAACATTGACCTTCTTTTATAGGAAAAGATGTTTAAAGAAGTTAACAGGCTAGCCAAGTGTGGTAGCATACAGTTGTATTATCAGTATTACTCAACAGCGCCCTTGGGTGTGCAATGGCTTCAGGTGTCTCTGTTCCATGGCAGAAGCCATTTCCTCCCAGACTACCAAAGTGAAGTCTTGGAGATGGTGGTGCTCTGTACCCAGTCAGTGTTCATGGCTTCAGAGAGCATCACCTTGTTGTCTAACCCTCTTACTGTTACAATATAACAGTTAATTTCTCCTGGTACATTGTTTTATTTTCCAAAAATCCAATTCAATTCAAGAATGTTTATTTAGCATTGATTCTAGTCAAGTTAAATACAATGTAACTTTTGACTCAAAAAGTTTCTCTCCCTCTCCCTCATCCCCTCCACTCTGGTGTGCATGCATACGTGGGTGCCTGCGTGTGTGTGTGTGTGTGTGTGTGTGTGTGTGTGTGTAAGTGGGAGCAGGTACACGGCACACAGGATGAGTGGAATTTCTAAACATTCCTCAAATACTGGTGATATGCAGAGATGGCAAGTCCCATGAGCTAAAGGGGACAGACATAGGGTCATGTTTTTCCACACTAGCTCATGCCCTTGGTGTTCTCTAAGCTAAAGAATTGTATATTTCAGGATGTTCTCAACTCAGAAGCAACAAGGAGCTTAAGAAGTTACAATTGACTCACATAACTCCTGGTCTCCGTCTGCCATGAGAATACAACTTCAATTAAGTAGAGCAATAAATAATTCTGACACTGGTCAGGGCTCTGTGATGCTATGCCATAAAGAGGATTTAGCCAAAACTATTCTGGACACACAAGCATTACAATATTTTTTTTTCTGGTCTCATTTTGAAAGGCCACCAAAGAAGTGTATCCGCAACACTGCAGACGCACAGCCTGGGGCTTAACTTTCCAGCATAGCTTTTTACGACTACTATAAACCTTTGTATTTTATTGTTTGTTTATGACAGCCTCATTATATGTAATGCCTCTGTGTAGTCTATTTTTCTGGTTTTAGCTCTTTTCTATTTCTAGGATGTAACTGATGTCTTTGTTTTCTACAGATGCGTCAAGCTTGTGCGTCCTTTCTGTCTGTTGATTCCCAGCCTGAGGTAATTTAATCTGGGGGTGTTTCATGACAATGTAGGCATTTACTGGTGCATGAAGTTCTCCATTTGTCCCTTTGAACTTTTCTTGAACTCACTAAGACTTGTCACGTCTTAGATGCTATTGCATTATTTCCAGGTAATGTCAGTGCTATAGGCTTGTGTTCTAAAAGGCTAGCTTTTCATCTTCAAGTAAAATAAATTTATTTTTGGAACTGTGGACTATGTAAATGCTAATTTTAAGACCACATTTTGTTTAAAAATACAATACCCAATAGCCATATGTTTTTGCACCAGAACCAAGCTTTTTGGACGGGCTCAGGCAGTGACCCTGGGTCTTCACAGAGCTGAAGCAGACACCACATGAGGATAGCTGACCAGCATGCTGACAGATAAGACAAAAGGCTGGACTGTGTGTCCCCAGTCTCCGGATTCCAGAATAGCCAGGAGGCAGTTAGTTCACGTCTCTTCCCGTGGGAGGAGGGAGGGCTGAGCGCTAGCATGGCTCCTCCACACGGGGAAACGAGGAGCGGGGAAATAAGTGCGTCATCCTCACACCATTCACTGATGCTTCCACCTGCAGCTCTGAGCTCAAGGACCCAGAGTTCACCTTACTCAGTCAGCTCTGCCAGGAATCTGGAGAGAAACGAATGTGCCTCAAACACACCCTCTGGACAAGGCCAAAGGACTATTCATGTGACCCTCCCGATGGGATCAGAGTGGTGGGAACAGAGGAGTTGCCATGTGTAATGTCCTTTCCTAGCTGTAGAGGTTCCCCTGCCAGAAGTTAAAGGCATTTGCTTGGGCTTCAGGAGAAGGGAGGGAAGCAAGATCTTTTGAACACTATTTCAAATTCATACTTTAAACCCCAATTTCTGCTTCAGTTACTTTCTCACTGCTGTGATAAAAACATCCCAAGGATAGCAACTTGAGTGTGGAAAGGCTTACTTTTGGCTCACCATTCGGGGAAATACAGTCCATCACGGCAGGGGATGTATGATACAGGCATGGGTAGCTGGCTGGTCACATTGTACCAGCACACCAGAAGCAGATAATGACAGGAAATGAGTCCAGGCTGCAAAGTCTCATGACCCACCTACAGGGACCCTCTTCCTCCAATAAAAACTCCACTGCCTAAAAGCTCCACAGACTTCCCTAAAAGTGCCACAAGCTCAGAACCAAGTGTTCAAACACATGAGCGTCTGGGAGACATATTCAAAGCACAAGAAGCATCTTCAGGTGTGTGACATGGTGATATTAGCATGTAAGCCTTCGTGTTGAACTTAAAATTCAGGAACAGCTTCAGAACAATTTTTATATCCACAATACCCACTGTATTAGCTTTAAAAAAAACCTCATTTAAAGTCTATCAATATAAACTCACTTTAAACATTCTTTTTCTACTTATGGTATGTGTGTGTGTGTGTGGTACCTGCATATGTATGTGCATGCATATATCTGGGGCAGGAAAGGTACATACCGTACATGTGTCCCTAGGCATGTAAAGGCTCAGCATTAATGTCAGGAATCATCTTCTGTCACTCTCTTACCTTATTTGCTGGGGCAGATCTTTCAGTTGGACACAGACCTTGCCTACACGGCCACTCATGCTAGCTAGGTTGCTCTAGGGATCCCCTGTCTCTACCTTGTAAGGTTGGAATGGGGCTGACACACTCATCTAGCATTTATGTGAGTTCTGGGATCCAAACTCTGGTCCCTACATTTAAGCAACAAACCCTTTAAACACCGAGCCAGCTCTCTAACTCCTCAAATCAGTTCCAATTGGACCTCATTTCTGTGCACCTTTTTAAAAAGAGCCTGGCATATATACTATTCACGTTTAAAATGTACATTTCAATATATTAAGAGATTTAAATATCCTTAACTGTTCATAAACTGTTATTTTATTAATTGTGCAATTATCAAAATAGTTCTACAAGATACTTTTGTCAAATAAAAAATAAAAATCTTTAAGGTCCATTAATATGAGATTAAATATTACCTATCCCATGTATGAAAGTCTTCAAAGAATTATGGAGAATAATGGCTTCTTATAAAGAAGGCTAGGAAAATGCATTTATCTTGAAATGTTTCTAGCCAAAGGTCAGTGTCATTTGCCAAACCTCATCCAGCCTAGACACGGTTTCCTAAGGAGACACAACCCACATATATACATATAGTCTTCTTCAATTGAGATGCCTCTTTGACATGGAACATAGCCAAATATCTTTTTGTTGTTGTTGTTGTTGCTTTGGATTTTGCTGCATTTCTATATGGGCTATTTTAAAGAGAGAAAAAAAAAACCCTTAGGGATTTTTATTACCCGATTTTCACAGATCTAACCTGAAGGAAACAAGTAAGGAAGGACTTACCAGACTCTGTAACTCATTCAGCTCCTCATAGTTGTGGGCTTGGCCTCAGTGGTAGAGCATTAACCCAGCAGGTACATGAGACATTCCCAGGACCGTCAAACAACTGAGAAATAGTCAACTCCCAGCTATACATCAGTGGACATTGATGAGCACTCCAAAGCATCTGCATAGGTAGAAGGCCTAGGAGCCACACTCAGTCAACGACAACCTCTTAATGTACTGGAGAAGTCACCGTCTTGTAGGACCTCATTTCCTCTATACAAAAGAGCAGCAAGCCCTGTCCTATGCATTATGCCCTTGTGTTTTAAGAACAGAAAGGTAACTGTGTACAGGAAATATTTTATAATGCGTTGAAACATCATGTATACATGGTCCATTTTGTACTATCAATATATATCCCAACAAGTGGCCTGGAAGGCAAACAGATGAGAGGAAGGAGACAAAACCAGACCTCTGTGGAGGAAGGGTGGGAGGGGCACTGCACAGTAACTCCAGCTGTGTTCTTCACCACAGCTGTCTGAGGTAGGTGCAATGAGAGAGATTAATGGCAGTGCAGAGTGATCTTTTCTCACAGCTTCTAAACTGAGAGTCCCTGCAGTGGTAAATTAAACCAAAGGGCTTGTCCTGCCCTTAATCCTTTCAGGAACTTCCTGCAGTGACATCACCCCTGATTTCTGGCTAAAGAAACTAAAGTTTCGAGAGAGTAATTAACCAGCGTAGAAACAGAGTAGAAATGGGATCCACGCTGCTGATCTCAGGCTGTTCAGCTTCTCAGTCCATACATTGACACTGTTTACATTGCCTCTCTGTGCCCCAGCTTCTCGTTACTTCAGAAATGAACTTATTAAGGAATCAATGGCTCACAGGCCGAGTATGCTAGGTCCTGTGCGAAGCAGGGTTTGCCCCTGCTTGTCCATTCGGGCCACTCCCTACCACGCCCAGCTGACTGCCAACCACAGGATTCCTGCCCTAATTCTGCCCTCTGATGCTTTGACAAACCTGATCCCGGGTTGTGCAGTCAGCAGCCTGGGAAGGGTGGTACTCAGACTAGCACCACGCACGGCTTCTTGCCCCTCAGTCCCCATTGTTTGAGAGCAATTGCAGGATTTTCAAATTAGCCAGTAATGAGTAATGTTCAGTGAAGCTTACAGCTTTGGCACGCACATGCATTTCTCTACAAGCCGGGAGACTAATCTCTAGCTGGCACTGCCCAGGCTATCTTAGTCATAGAGTTCCGTGGTGTCTCAGTGAGTGTTGAGAACTGTGTAAGTGGACCACAGTGAAAACTTCAACTGCTGCATAGCAGCTGCAAAGAAAGATATGTTTGCTTGTTTGCTATACGCGTGCTCAAGTTTCTGTGTGTGTGTGTGTGTGTGTGTGTGTGTGTGTGTAGTCTGTGACATGGGAATGCATACCCACGTACACCCAAGCAGACACCAGAGGAAGACATCAGGCATCTTCCTCCATTACTCCCCACCTTGTTTTGTAAGATCAGAATCTTCCAGAACCCGAAGTTTGCCATTGTGTCTAGACTGACAGGCCAGCAAACTCCTAGGATCTACCTGTCTCTGTTCCCAATGCTGGAGTGACATGCGCACTTAGCTGTGCAAGACTTTTATGTAGGTGCTAGGGATTCAAACTCAATTTCTCTTGCCATGTCAGCCAACTTTGTCACCTGCCCAACCGTCCTCCTGGCCCGTGGATGTTTTAGATTGTCATGAGCGCAATCAAGAGACTCCTGCAGGGTTTCAGTGGACCACAGCAAGACTTCTTGACAGGGCCGATTAGCTATCCTTGTGCTCCCAACATCTGAAATGTCACCCTCTGTGCAGACATAGCGCAAACTGAAGCACAGCCCGTGTGTTCTCTTGTCTGCCTCAGGCATCTGCTGCACTGAGGAAACTTTGCCGTGTAGTGATGGAGATTTCCCAGAAGCCTCAGGTAAGGCTGAAGTCCTGTAGACAATCCACCAACCAAACAAATGACGTGAAGTTCCTCCTCCTTGAAGAATATGTGCCCAATTTGGGAAGCCTGTGACCAGGAGCTACAAGACACACTGACTGGGAATAAGAAGCAGATACTTTAGCATCTCTGTTAGGATAGTATTGGTAGAGTTCGTACTCAGCTAACTGGGAAATCATGTCTCCTTCAAGCATAAAATGTGGTCTGATAGAGGAAATTTATGCCCATATTGTTTTTATTTTTCTCACACACATGTATAATTGGGGACAAGAATGAAACAAAATTGCTACGTTTTTATGGTCTGTACTTAGGACAGGAAGGATGTTTTGTTGTGGCAAAGGACATTAAGAATAGAAAACCATAGCCGGGGAGAACACTTGGCTGGTACATGTGAGACCTGAGCTTTCACCTCGGCACTGGGAAAAACAAACAGACAAACAAGCAAACAAGGAAGGAAGGACAAACTGGCCAACCACAGTGTGTCAGGTTGAAAGTTCTTGTTTGCATCTGTGTCCTGGTTTCTGATTGAAATTATTTGATTCTTCTGGGAGAATGTTTTGTCCTAAGTGAAGACTGGGCAGGAGTGTGAGAAATCACATACCATTAGGGTTCAGGTTCTAGCCTGTGTCTTGGTTGAACGAATTTTATTAACCAACCTTATTGGAGGTAAAAACCTTAAGTTCCAAATGATGTATTTCATCAGCATCTCAAACGTATCCTGTGATTGCTGGTACACTCCAGCCTCTGAGCCTTCCACAAAGCGTAACCCAAGGGATGGTTTGATAGTTTGAAGGCTAATTATTCTTTCTAGTGATGATATTCTCCCACTATGTAATTTTCCCTAATTAGAATAAAACAAGTAACAGTAAAATCTATCCATCAAGCAAATGAGACAAAAAAAAAAGAAACGACTCCTAAAAGCAACAGACATTTAAGAGACAAAAACATAAAGGGAAACTTATGGCAGAAAAATAACTCCTAGCCTTATTTAATGATGACAACTAAAAATATTTTGCTGTGGTCTCTTTGTTTACCCTGGACACTCCATTGTGGGACTGTATTGCAGTGTCCCATTCCACCACTGTTAAACAGTGATAAGCCTTCCAATTATTTTTCTTATAAATAATTCTGTAGAGAAGATCTCTGTCCACTGACTTATAAATAATATTTAATCAATCTTCCATTTATTTTTGAGCAAAAGATGCTAAAGCAATTTTAGTCCTATGTTTGAAATACAACATAATGTGTCATATGTCACATTTTTACATAATTCATAATGTATTGTGAATTTCAAAGTACGTAACAAGACGTTTTATAACATTTAATGATATATGTCTCTTCACTAGGAACAAAGTGAGAAAGATGATGCTAAGAGGGTAAGGTGATTTTCCTAAATATATATATACACTAAACGGAGTAAAGAAAGCCATGAATCTTCTATGGATAACTCACTCTTTCTATCTTAACAGTTCTTGTTTCATTATTCGAAGACACAGAAGTTGGGAAATTCAAATGTTGTGGTAAGTAGTCACAAGTATGCGTCTTAAGAGAAAACTCATCTTTTAAAAAAGATTTACCTAGCATACAATAAGACCAAAATTCATATTTTTTACTCTACAAATTATGTCTAAGTTTGATGATATAGCCCAGTGTTTCATTCTTCAGTACCATGGGGAGGGAAATAAGTTTATATGTGAATAAATAAAAATTAATATTTATTATATATTTACTTTACATGTCAATAACTACATGTGCCCTGTATTCACCTGCTCACAATTATTTATTATCTGGTATGTGTCAAACACAACTCCAAATGCTCAAAATATGATAATAAATAAGTAAAAAATCCATCCATCATCAATTTGTATTAAATGACAAAAGATATCTAAGAACAAATGAGTAAGTAAAGCAAATTATTTAGGGTGATATTAATACAAGAGACAATTAGTTTCATCCAAAGACATTTTTTAAAGCAATTATTTGAAAAGACAAGTATCAGTGATCACTGGAAGTATCGCCTTCTAGTTTTGTTCATTATCATGAGGTAGATGCTCACTGTGAGAGCTTCTATCAGAGCAATGAAAAATGAGTGGCCCAGCTTTAAGACACGTCCAGCTCATGTGGCCTCTTTCAGTGGTAGTTTTTGGTTTGTTGGTTTTGGTTTCCTTTTCTTTTCTTTTCATTTTATTCACTTTACATACAGATTGCTGCCCCCATCACTCCCTCCCACAATCCCTCCCCCAACCCCCTCTTCTTCTCTGAGAGAGTGAGGCATGCCTCCCCTTGGGTATCCCTCCACCCTGGTACATCGAGTCTCTGTGGGGCTAGACGCATTCTCTCCCACTGAGGGCAGCCAGCTAGAAGAACATATACGTATGTTCAGAGAGTGCAGCTCTGTCAGGCCGCTGTGTCTCAGGTGTGTGTTCATTTTCTGCCATGTGAGATCTCATTTTTAGAAATTGAGTCTTTATCACCTTTTTCCACTACCAAAAACACACACACATATATATACATATATACATATATATACATATACATAAATATACATAAATATACATATATACATATATATACATACATATATATACATGCATATATATACATATATGTATACATATATATGTATGTATATGTATCTCCCACAGACAGGCAACAGTTTTTGGGATAGTCCCCCTCTCCCCTCCCTGTTTCAATTGTTCAGGACTCACACGAAGACCAAACTACACAGCGGCTATATATGTGGGGAGTTTCTAGGCCTAGCCCTTGTGTGCTCTTTGATTAGTGGTTCAGTCTTTGAGAGCCCTAAGGGTCCAGCTTAGTTGACTCTGTTGGTCTTCCTGAGGAATTCCTATCCCCTTCAGAGCCCTCAGTCCTTCCCACAACTCTTTCTTAAGAGTCCCCAAGCTCTATCCACTGTTTGGCTGCAGGTCTCTAAGTCAGCTGCTGGGTGGAGCCTCTCAGAGAACAGGCTTGCTAGACTGCTGTCTGCAAGCATAACAGAGTATCTTTAATAGTGTCAGGGATTGGTGCTTGGCCATTGGATAAGATAGGTCTCTAGTTGGGCCAGTTATTGGTTGGTCATTGCCTCAGTCTCTGCTCCATCTCCTGTCCCTGCCTTTCTTGTAGACAGGATAAATTTTGAGTGGAAAATTTTGTGGATGTGAAGTCCCTGTCATTCCACTGAGGTCCCTGTGTCGCTATAGGTGACCTCTTCAGGTTCCATATCCCCACTTCTTTGATCTCAGCTAAGGCCACCTCCGTTAATTCTTTGGGATCTCCCTTATCCCAGGTCTCTGTCTCATCTTGGAGATGCCCTCTACCTCCCCACCCCCTTCAGTTGTAGATTTCCATTCATTCTCATGGCCATCCGGCCATCCCTCCTGTCCCTCCTCACATGTGATCCTGAGCCCCCCTTCCCCTTCCTCTCCCCTCTCCTGCCCAGAGCCTTCCCTCTGTTTTCCTCCCACAACCATCTTGTTCCCCGTCTATCCTTGCTTGGACCTTCCTTCTTGTTTAGCTTCTTTGGGCCTGAGGAGTGTTATCCTGTATTTTATGGTTAATATCTACTTATTAGTGAATACAAATCACGCATGTCCTTTTCATTTGTTTTGCACGGATTTAAAATATACAAACTGGCTAGGGCTGTGGTGTAAAAACAGAGCCCTCGCCTAGCACATGCAAAGCCCCAGGTTTGATCTCCTGCACTGGGAAAAATTAATAAACATGGAAACTATTTGACCATAATATACCTTTTAAGCCTGGGGTTCACTACTGCATGCAGTTTAGAGAATGAAAGGACAGTGCATTTTAAGCATGTGTGTGGAAAGGAAATGTAAATTTAAACTCCACTTAAGTGTGTGCCCCATGGGCTAATCTTACATGTGAACAGATGAAAGTTTCAAGCGAGATTAGCTACATGCTGCACACAAGTTGCATTCATGAACAGATAACCATTATCTAGGGCTAAAAGTCACCCATCTGTTAAATGAATTTAATATCAGTGAGGAGGCTCAACTCAACCTAGACCGTAAGCGAGTGCAGCTCTGTCAGGCCGCTGTGTCCTGGGTGTGCATTCATTTTCTCCCACGTGACATCTCATTTTTAGAAAGTGAGTCTTAGTCACCTTTTTCCACTACCAAGGCACATTGTCATCTTTGTGTCTCCTGTTGTCTTGCTCCTGTTCCATTTTAAATATTTAATTTATGAAGGAGATTTCCAGGTATACGTGCTAGAAGCATCCAGATAACAATGTTTGTAAGGGAAAACTGATACTTGCAAGTTGCTCTGGTCTGGACTGGATTGTTTTTGAGTAAGTGTAGACGTTGACAGATGGCTTTTTTGCCTCCTGGAGAGGTGACCTGGGGCTACACCTGTTGCAGTTGTAACAGATCCGAGGCCTTCAGCAAAGTGCTTCTCCAAATAAAGGGCAACTGCTTAGTGAAAGACTAGCGGTCTGTCCCACCCCTTGATTTAGTCAGTACTGTTCTTTAAAGGACTTGCAATGGGCTGTCTTGGATAATATCTTTCATTTCCTTTTCTTGTCCTTTAATATGGGGTGAGAATAGCGGGTAGACACAGACAGACAGACAGACAGACAGACATACAGACAGACAGACGGGAAGCCGTCTTAGTGCCCAGTGCCGAGGAGCCCCCGTGCTCATCGTGTGTGTTCATGTCCTCCCAGTCGTCTGTTGTGCATCCGTTGCTGCAGCTCGTTCCTCAACTGCATGAGAGAAGAATGAAGAGATTCAAAGTGAGCGTATGTAATACCAACTGCATGCTGGCTTTGCCACTCTGCGGCAGCCCCTTTCGCTAACCGCCGCTGTGGTCCTTTGTAAGATTACCCCTCTTCAGGGTGAGCCCCTCACATCCATATTCAGTGTTAGCTTTCAGTCACAGTGACAGTATGTTGTTGGTCAGCTTGACACACTGGGTTACATTGTATCTGTGGTAAGGCAGAGAGTCATATAGAGTGTTCAGTTGAACAAAGTATCACACCCCATGACAAAGAAGGGAGGGAGGGAGGGAAGACAAAGTAAGGTACTGTACGCATTCTTCAAGTGTAATTTCCTTCTACTACCTCCTCAGAAAGATTCCGATACCTCCCAACAGCACTATGTGCTGCCGACCTCTTGGTCTTTGGGAGACGCTTCAGATCTAAATTATCATATACCTTGGTTAACCTGCTTAAACGCATTGTGCAGTCTTTCTCCCTCTCCACATTCTGACCCAGTCCAGCTCAAGCCCTTTGCACTGAGGAAAATTGGGCTTCTGTGTCCTCTAACTGAGACCTTCTAACTGACAAAACGTGGTCTTGGTTTAAGAAAAGGGAACTGCTGGGTGTTTGGTCTTTAGGTAGGAATTGGAAATCCAGTCAAGGACAATTCATCACCCCTGTACCCTGTTGACAAATAGCTAGGGTGGCATAATTTTTTTGTCCAGGTGTTAAAACATTGATAAAAATAAGGATTGTAAATATATATACATATCATCAAACAAATGTCAACATTTCATTTTTTCCCGTGGCTAACAAAAACAGGACCTAAAACAGTGTGTAAGGTAACTGTAACTAAGCTAACACACTCTCAACTAAAAACTGCATTTGTAATGTCACTTAAACATAATCCTGATGCTTTTAGTGTTGAAAGAACTGGGTAACATTTTAAAGGGAGACATCACATTTTTGGTCTGGCGTTGCCATCTTTGATTTATTGGGAACTTTGCTGGGCATTCACGGGTTCCACTACCTCAAGAGACGGGAAAGTCACAGTAGTTAAAGAAAGTTCCACTAGCTACCTAAGATGAGAGGTGACAGTTACTGACCCTTAGTCTAGGGAAAGCACACACACGCACACACGCACACACGAACACACACACACTTCTTCATTGTGATACTCCCTTTATGGTTTAATGACGGTTACTTCACTATTATGTTGGTACCATTACATAAATTAGTTTTAAAAGTGGAATTCAGGAATTCAGGTCTGGTGTTTCCTTAACTTTGATACTGTATTTTTTTTTTTTTTACTCTTCTTAAAGCATGTTTTAAAAAAGCATACAGTTAGATGAGTAAACATCCCACAGTTTACTTTTATGATCATCATCCCCCCCCAAAGTCTTCATATTTTAGCTACAATTGAATACAACTACTGATAACTTTAAAGAGAAATCTAAGAGGGGATTTAATAGCACTTTAAATTTATAGAATTTCCAAAGCTGGGGTTGTAGCTCAGTGGTAGGGCATTAGCCTGACATGTGTGGGGTAGCCTGACATGTGTAGGGTAGCCTGACATGTGTAGGGTAGCCTGACATGTGTGGGATAGCCTGACATGTGTAGGGTAGCCTGACATGTGTAGGGTAGCCTGACATGTGTGGGATAGCCTGACATGTGTGGGGTAGCCTGACATGTGTGGAGGCTAAGTTCAATTTCTAGCACCACTCACCCCAGAAATGTTAGAATTCCCAGGACAAAGAAGAAAGTCAGTCGACATCAAATTAATTTTCTAGAAATAAATCCATACTTAATAAAGTTTTACTTTATTTCTACCATGTCTGTATTAGCCAGTGATAATTACTTTAACTATGCTATTTCAGTTTCACTATTTAGACAAAGAAAGACTGAGTCATATTTATTCTTATGACTAATTTAGCACGTAGTCTCTGTTTTCTGTTTTGAGCGAGATGATTGTATTTGCAGATACTATCTGAAAACTTGAGACCTGATGTAGGCACAGAACAGACTAAATGAAGGTAAACCCTGAAGACATTCCCCCACAGGGGAATAACCTTAGGAAATGCTGGGAGAAAGGAATGCAAGAGATAAATGGGAAACCCAACAATAACAACAACAAAACTTTCAGAGTTAAGATATCCCACTACAAAACTATATTTTAAAATTAGTCAATGTTGGTCATCAGAGCCGACATGCTATTACTGATTGGTAGTTGTTGAAATGATTTAGCTGTAAACATAATGACTCTCTCCTGACATGAAAACTCTACTCAAGTCTTTGGGAATAGCTAAAAGTACTATCGAGTCTCACTCACTGCATTCTTAAGAAGGATTTGCCTTTCTTCTGGTGTTGCTTAATTTGTTATGTCATCCTTATTTCTTCCAGAAAGAATACCATGGTCCACTTGCTGCTCACAGTAGGGGGTACTTTTTATTCAGTGTATGTATATATATATATATATTATTTTATGATCAATAAATATGGAAGCTGATCAAGCATGGTCACTGTATGCTCACTGGATTGACTTAAGCTTTAATGAAGCTTTGACATCAAGTGTCTGAATATGGTTTTACTTCTGCCACTACCCTGTCATTAAACCACAGCATCTCTAATCTCCCTATTTCTCCTCCTGTGTGTGACTACTCCAATGACATTCGTCTACTTCACAGTTTAATTTTGTGATATTTTGTACATGGGAAACAAATTTTTAGAGCTATTTCGTAAGTCCAAGGAGTCGATTATTAAGGTTTTGATTGACTAGGTTGCAATAGTTATGACTACGCTGACAGGTTCTTAAAATGGAAAATCCAATGATAATAAAAGGTACCGAGAGAGATAGCTTTGTGACTGTGTTTATCATTTCGCATTTGTGTATGAAATCTATTTCTGAACAGCTATGGTTTTTTTTTTGCAATATTTACTTTCTTAACACGTAGCCAGAAAAGCTACACATTTAATGAATGTGTTCAGCAGTTATTTACTGAAGCTCTAATAGGTGCTAGATACCAACGGATGGGAGTACTAAGACAGGGATTAAAAGCACATACTACTCTTACAGAGGACCAGAGTTCAAGTCCCAGCACCTGCTTCAGGCAGCTCACAGTCTGTAACTCCATCTCCAGGGGATCTGGAGCTCTCTTCTGGCCTCTGGGGGCAATTGCACTCATATGCATATACCAACACACAGATATATCTATAATTTAAGATAAAATAAAATACTGGAAAAAAATAAAGATAGCGTTCAGCTTCTATACTCTAGTACTTTACACCTTGATTTAACAACTAGATAAATAAAAGCTAAGATCAGTCATCCTTTGGTACATGGGGGATTGTTTTCAAAAACCCAAATCTGAGGTTGCCCACATTAAACACTGTGGTATTTGTGTAAAACCAACTGAATCCTTTTAAGTCCTCTTTAGGTGAGATTTGAGACGAATGCTTTAGCTGGAGAATGGAGGTAATAGAGAGATGACATTGTGTGTATCCACGATTAGACAAGACATATGTAATGAAACATTTAGCTGAACATTTTCAGCCTTATCCTCGAGTCCAAGGCGGTGTTCCTGTGGTAGGATTTACACTAGCAGACCGGAGAATGGATTGGACTGGATTTTGGAACTAGATTGACAGCAGGAATATATAAAACAGAGATGCTATGATTTCAGAAAGTTAGCTTTGGATCATCTTAAAGTGAAACTTGAGAACAGTTGTTGGCAAATGTTGGTTCCCTATAAGCAAAACAGAGTACCGTTTCTAAATCATCGTGGTCCTAGCAGCTTTAGCAGTGCCTCAGAGCTTGGTAGAAATACACGCTTTCCGGTTCCACTTCAGCCGTAGTAAATCAGAAACTGCAGTGGTGGGGTCCAGTGAGCCCACTTCTCTTCTGCCCAAGGCCTGTCAGGTAACCTGGATGTACATCAAAAAAACTCTTCTTTGTAGCATTAGGCTTTTTTCTATGGTATTTATTTCACATCATTAGTTACAATGATTTCTTTCTAATTTATTATTTTGCAGCCGCGCAATGGGAAGAGGTCAACAAGCTTCATTTAAAATGGTATGTGTTCAAAATAAAAACACCAGTAAATATGAAGCACCATGTGTCTCACAACTGAAATCAGCTTGGAGGCTTCCGTTGGTCATGAACTAAACCACACTCAAATATATTTCTAGTGTTCAATTGCATGTGTGCACTAACATTATATATAAATACTACAATCGTAGAGGCAATGCAGGCTTTAGGAAACAGGGAGCACTTGTATTTTAGGGCTAGAGTTGCTTTGATCCTAGTATTCCTTGGTCTGTGACATAAAAGTAGTCATCCAAAGTGATTTTGGAGATGACCACCTCACTTCACTTACTGAGCACAGTACCACGATTTACTCTGTGCTGTTAGTCAGCGTCCCCTGGAGTGGGCCGGGATTCCTTGGCACGTGTGCTTCTGTATTCCAAATAGCTCATACTCAAAAAATCTTTATAAATATGGGGATGCAGCTCAGTTGGTAGAGTGGCATCCTACCATGCACAAAACTATGGAACCAGTCTCAGACCAGGTGGAGCCACGTGAGACCCTGTTTCAAAATGTGGCAGGAGGGGCAACGCTGGAGAGATAGTTCAGAGGTCAAGGGTGCTTGCTGTTAATGCAACTGTTCTCAATTCCATTCTTTCACCTACACTAGCAGCTCACAATTGCCTGTGATTAAGACCCACTCCTGAGAATCCAACAGTCTCAGACCTCCACAGGCACACAAACACACACACACACACACACACACACACATGCTCACACACACACATGCTCACACACCACATGCACAAACATCTTTAAAATTTAAAAAGGGTAAAGCAAAAATTTCTTAAAGCAAAAAGATCCAGATTATTCTATAAAGAGGACAAAACTATAAACAGACAAAGACAGAAATGAAAAGACAGACATTAAAACAACTCGAGAAGTGAAAATCACCAAGCACTTTGCAGACACTCACAGAGTGAAGTGGAATTTGATCTGTTTGGTATGAACTTCTCCCTGAAGTTGAGAAAATATATCTTTCTGACCTATTCTCTAGGTTAGGGTCTACTCAGTCTATTTTGAGCAGGATTTTATTTATCTTGCGAGCTGAAGAGTAATTCAACAGTCATTTCCACCTTGACTTTGTCATCTGATTACCTAAGGTCTTTCTTTATCCTGACAACATATTTATTAAGAAAATAACTATAACTTCTGGATGCTGTAATGGCAGATATGCAAGTAAATAAACAGGAAAAACTTTTTGATAGCTCTTATTGTATTCAGATCATCAATCTCATCACACGTGGCCCAAGAACACTCGAATGAGAACACAAACAAAATCCAATATAAAAGATCAGTCCTCAAACATTATAGCCAAGGATTTGGCATTTGCTAATGAGGTAGAAAAGCATGTCCACACCCAGTGCCACCCAGTCATTCAGTACAGCTTCCTTAACTGTTTAGCTCTTTGAAACTACCGGCTTCTGCACTTGGGACTTTGTTTTTCACATCTGAATAGTTGTAAGGAGCTCAGCAGGGGTTGGGGAATCCAGCTTAACTTTGGTACACAGCCAAAATATGGATGGTTGTGGCTTGGAGAAAGCCACACTAGTTGTCTCCCATGTTGGGGCCTTCTCCACGAGCTTACAGATGAAGTGGGCCATGGTCTAAGGTGGAAGTAGGAAAATCTTCAAACACTTGTAATGCTTCAAGTAAACTGATATTGATGAGCTTCAGTAAACTACTTTTATATTATTAAATGCTATAACGTACTGAGAAATACAGAGGTGTAAAATAAATGGCCAGATTCTCGTTCTACATGTACAGAACATATGTACATATTCATAGTGTCACATATATGTGAATCTAATTAGCTTTTTTTTCTTTTTTTTACAGGATGTCAAATGATCTGTCATTGAAAACTCTGCTATGGGATATAAAATGTACTCACATTTTGTTCTCAGAAATCATCCCTCCTAAATTTACTCTGTTGCAAACCCTTGTATTGTAACCTTCTCTGAGATGGTTGGGATTATGAATGTTTAATTTGTTGAAAATAAAACAGCATCTTGAAATGTATTGTTACAGTGATCAATTGTGTCCAGCAAAGCTGTACCTGAGGATGCTCCATAGGTGCCTGCACATCTGAATAGCATTGGTGCCGGCACCTCAGGATAGCATTGGTGCCGGCACCTCAGGATAGCATTGGAACACATATTTTTTAAGCATTTACTAACATCGCTCATAGAGAGTTGGGTGAACTATTTTAGTTTATCTAATTTGGATTATGTCAGTGATAAAACCATCAGCTCTTCTAAGTACCAGAATGCAGATTGTCATGATGAAACACGTCTGTAATTGCAGCATTGGGGTGCTGAGCCAAGATAAAGGTAGGTTCAAGGCTAGCCTGGGATACGTAGCAAGGCTCTAAAAACACAAATAAAACAACCAAATAGAGTGCCAGCTATCTTAGAACACCAAGAAAACTACATGACTCATGACTTATGCAATGGTCCAGTAAGCAAGTTATGATTTATATATTACAAAATTGACTTCAGATTGCTACAAATTTATCAGGAGACTGCCTGGCAATTAGTAGTAGTTAGTAGTGTAATTGTTTCACCTTGCAATCAGTAAAAAGCAGCCAACCTTGTTCATTACTAGGAAGAAAATAATCTTACCAGGAGCTGATGGGAAACATACTTGGGAACTTAAATAACACATTTCATAAAGAAAGTTCTTGAGTTACTCTTCCTACTAAGCCCTGGGAAAGATATAAGTTGAGAAGAATCTGAGAGAAGAAAAAAAAATTACAATCTTGCTTTAAAAGTGAATTGTTTTGGCAGAATGGGCCTCAGAATGGCAAAGGACCCCTATTCCATAGTCGCAAATGCACGGGGCAGTGTGCGGTAAGTCTATTAACCTGGAATTTTAAATTATTTTTTTCAGTTAATATACATCCTATCTTGTGGAATTTCATACATATTTATAATTGTCCTTGTTCATATGTAACCCCTACAGTCCCTGCTAACTGCTTTTTGGCTCCCCTTTCCCAGCCAAATAATCTGTCTTCTGGTTTTATGTCATATATGTGATAGGTATATAATACAAATTCTGCATATGAGAAAAGAACAGGCAATATTTTGTCCCCCATTACCTTCCTTTGTCAAAATAAAAAAAATTAAATATTATTAGGTAGCAGAGTCTCTTCAAAAATCCAGAAAGATGGGATGGAGAGATGGCTCAGCAGTTAAGAGCACTGACTGCTCCCCCAGAGGTCCTGAGTTCAATTCCCAACAATCACACGGTGGCTCCAAACGATCTGTGATGGGATCCGATGCCCTTTTCCGGTGTGTCTGAAGGCAGCTACGGTATACTCACATATAGGAAATAAATAAATCCTAAAAAAAAAGAAAAGTAGAAAAAAATCCAGAAAGACATGAATCGCTTGTGTATTTTAAGAATCTTCACATAAAAGCAGGGCAAGGAGAAAAGCAGAAATACTGAGATTATAGTTAAAAAGACTGCAGTGTTTTCGCTGAGCATCGTCACACACAAATGCTATAGGATGCTTGGAGTGTAGAATCAGCATTACATACTAACCGAGCACTGCTGGTGAGTTGCTCAGTTGCTGAACACAAGTTTAAAATTGTGTTACTAAGGACATTTTTTCCTCTTGTTTTAAAAATCCTCTTCAGGATATCTCTGGGACCAGGTGTACAATGGCTTACATGGTAATGTTCCCCATGTTCCTAGTAAATACTTCCTGGTAAAATCCTCTTAAACACCGAGAAACCCAACTAACTGTCTGTATCTTCTATCTAAGCCAGAGCTCCTAAAGAGGGTGGGGTTCTTTCTTTTAGTGATTCTTGTTTTGATTTTGTTGCTTTGAAACAGGTTCTCAATTTGTAGCCCAGGCTGACCCCTGCTTATATGCTCGTTCCTCCGCTGCCTGAGGTAGACCACAGGTGCGTGGTAGCAGGGCTTGTTGAGAATCTGACAGAAAATTTCAATCCAAGCTCCAAGGGGACCGTTGAGGTGGGGGGGGGGGGAGTACACACACACACACACACACACACACACACACACACTGTAACTTGAGGCTAGTGCTTAGATGTCCCTTAAAATTTTATCTTTAGCCAAGCAGTAGTGGCTCATGCCTTTAATCTCAACACTTGGGAGGCAGAGGCAAGTAGATATCTGTGAGTTCAAGGTCAGCCTGGTCTAAAAAGTATGTTCCAGGGCAGTCAGGGCTACACAAAGAAGTTCTGTCTTAAAAAACCAAAACTAAGCAAATAAGCAAACAAATAAATAATAAATCCATCTCCAAACAGATGGTGGGCCCAGGTTAAGAATTCTCTGTAGTGCTTGCCACCCAAGGAATTTATTTTTTCTCTGTGAATACTGGATTCAACCTCGCCGAATAATAGTCTTGGGAGTGGCAGTCGTAGAGGAGGTTGGAACGGAGCACCGTGTGACTAGCAGGAGAGACACACTGCTAAAGATAGATATCCCAGGACCTCATTGATGCACAAGGGCCCGCAGACCCTGGAACTAAGTAAGCTTCTGCGTTGCCTGGCAACTGGGCTACCGTTGCACATGCGCAGAGGTCCTATTCGTGCTTAACCTGTCCCTAAAGCGTTAGAGACCACTAGCCAGAGCTGGCTGGTTCCCTCTGCCAGCCTGGAGGAAGACTGAGGCCTTGACCCCTCGTGAGGGGCACAAGAGAACATCATGCAGGTAAGAGTCAGGTCGTAGGGTGACCTTGGAGCCCTGAGCTGAATAAGCCAGCTAGTTCCAAGCTCAGGGATGTACATAGAGTGTTGCGGACCGTCCGCAGGGGTAGGTTCTAACATTTGTTCTTGGTAGGTGTTATTTTGTGAGTCTCTGTCTAGTTTTGAGAGAATGCTGTTTTGTTTTTTGTTTTTTTTTTGTTTTTTGTTTTTTGGTTTTTTTCGATATCCTGAGTCTCCTGTGAGGCTGAAAGAGACACTTAGTTTGTTCAGTATTGCTTTTTACCCCTAAGTCCTGGACATCCAAATGCTATACTAGTTCTGAATTACGAAAGAAGTACGATTGGCCCAAGGGGATTCAGTTATGTTCGTTTATGTTCTTTTATAGGAAGGTACGGGGTGGGTGGTGCCCATTGCTGTGAGATGTCTCAGTTGGTTAAGGTGCTTGCTGCCAAGCCTGATAACCTGAGTTTGACCCATGGCACCTACAAACCTGACTCCTCCAGGTTATCTTCTGATCTACATACACACACACACACACACACACACAAGGGCGAGTGCGCAAACAATTTCTTTTAAATAAAAAGTTAAATTACAGCTATACGTTTCAAGACTTTGGTCTGGGTAATTTCACAGGGTGATGTTTTTTTATTTATGAATTCTTTAACTTTAAATTTTATTTATTTATTTTATTTGTGTGGACATTTTGCTTGCACGAATGTCTGTATATCACATGATACCCACGGAGTTCTGAAGAGGACGGTTGGATCCCCTGGAACTGAAGTTACAAATGGTTGTAAATCAGCATATCGGTGCTGGGAATTGAACTCAGGCTCTCTTTTAAGAGTGCTCGTAACCCATGAGCCACCTCTCCAGCCCCTCGAGTTCTTTATAATAAAGTTTTAATTTAGAAAAATAAGAATCTCCTTCTTCAGTTCCTCCATCCCATCCTCTCCCTGCCCTTTTCCTCCTTCTCTCACAGGAAAATCCTCACTTTCTGACATAAGAAATAGCTTTCTATTCCCTGCTCCTTAGCAAAGTGAATTGGGTTTTTCTTGGTTTACATACAAACTTTGGGTAGTTGAGTAGATCACATAATGTATTAAGCTATTTTAAGCACGATTCACATGTAATCGGGTCCTTTCATGTTGGGCCGGCTGTTAGCAAGTACAATTGTACAATTAGCCTGGCCCTGCAGTCTGTCCTGCTTTACTTCTGCTTTTCAGAAATTCTGCTGAAGTGGAACCAGCAGGAAGCAACTGCTCACTGACCCCTCTCTGACGTTATTATTATTGTTCCTTGATTTATTCAGCAGACATTCCTTATGCTTTAAACACGGGGCCTGTTCTATAAGAGTGTGCTTGAGAGAACAAAAAAGACAACACACAGTGTGGCAGAAATACTGTCACCATTTGTGAAAATAGATTGTGGCCCCTATCTCTGCTAGATAACATTTCATAAATAATCCTAAAAGCCGAGGGTAGGGCACTTTCAAAGACGGTTATGTTGAGTCACACTGGAATGAAGTCTAGATCAGTCCAAAAAGAGCAGTTGAGAAGTTTGAACACATCTACAAGAATATACTCTGATGACTCTCAAGAAGAGTGCTTTACCAAGAAAAACCCAAGTCAAATGCATATTCAGTGCATAAGGGCTGCTCTGTTATGTCAACAACACAGTCTCAGATGGAACAGTCAAGACTGGGTTGGTTGGAGTGACGTGGTAGGAACTGGCTACGATTCTAAGACTTTTCAGTCATCTCTCTTAAGACGTTCAGCAGTTCTAAAGGAAAGAAAGTACCAGGTGACTGTGACATGTGAAAAGTGTTCTTAAAAAGTGATTGTTGGAGTTCTCAATGGAGGAGTTAGAGTGAGGACTGGAGGAGTTAAGAGTGAGGACTGGAGGAGCTGAAAGGGTTTGTGGCCCCATGAGGAGAGCAACAATACCAACCAACCACAGCTCCCAGGGTCTTAACCACCAGCCTGGGAGCACTTAGGGAGGGATCCAGGGCTTCAGCTGAATACATAAGAGTGGAGGGCCCTGCCGGGCATAGGTGGAAGATGAGATCCTTGACCTCATGAAGGCTGGACGCCCCAGGGGGTGGGAATTTTGAGGGTGGGGAAGTGGAAGTTGGGGGGATAGGTGGGGGTTACATCCACGGAGAAGAAGGAGGAGGGGTGAAGGGATAGGGG